TAAAATAGTCAAAAGGCAAATTAAAAGACATTAAAATGGGAAATAAATGTTCAAAATTAGGAAATAGTATGACTGTTACTAGTGGTGTTAGGTGAAAAGCCATTCCATGTTATGACAAAATTTGAAATATTTATTATATTAATACATTTCCCAAATTTAGTAGCTTACCATTGTAATGCCCAGCAAATTACAGAAGAATATATCTTTAGCTCATTTTTATTTTCTGGTTACTTTTATGGAAATAATATTTTAAGGATATTTCAGTCTTTTCAACTGGACAGCTGAGTAATTTTCTTTGCTTCCTGCTCAAACAGTCCCAGCAGCCTTAGCTGTGTTGCCTAGATACTCCATCTCCTGCAGCATCTGTAAATTGGCCAATTCAACAGGAGGATTCATAATCTAAATAAAAGAGAAATCTTGGGGTGGGGAGTGGGAATCATTTGTTAGCTGGTAGCCTGAGCGGTGCTGTAAATTTTGCTGTTGAGAAAAATAATTTTTTATTTGCTTAGCTGTATGTGGTTAATTGGGAGAATTGCTGGCATGTTCAGAATTCAGTACGTATTAGCATTACATTCAGGACAGAGTTATATTGTAGCCCGAGATGTCTGTCCCCTTCAGGCAAAATGGTTCTTATTTCTTATTGTTTGACTTTTATGTTTTTCTTCCCCTGGAATATATTTAACAAGTAGTAAGCTTTGAATTCCTATTCAGAAGTACATCTAACAGTCATATTTCATAATGCACTTCTGCAAGCATGTGCTTAACTTGTGCTCACTTTAAAAATAATGTAATCCGAAGTTAAGTAACTCGCATCTACATATGTACAAGAAGAGCTACGTCAATACATGTGAATAGAATTTTAACCAATTATACATTTTATTATTTTATCTTGGATATTAGTTTATCTTGCCTGCCATTTTTTAGATTTTGCAAAGCACTGATGAATACTTTCTCACACATGATTGCAGACAGTTTCATCAGTACAGGTTTGATTTCATTAGAATTCAGGTTTTTCTAAGCAAAGCAGAAAGAAGCAGAATGGTTAGTGCAGTTTTTTTAGTTTTCTTCCACATATATTTGCAGAACATGCTAATCAAGTAAACAAGGTTTAAGGAAAATTATGATTGTTTATTCACATTTAGAGGTTTTTTTAAAGTGCAAAGTTTAGAAAATTGGTAGTTCAGCCTGCTACATCTGTAATAGGCTTATAAAGCTATTTGCTAATGGGCTTAATTTCATTTTCTCAATTCTTCCATTTTTAGATTGCCCTGCTGGGCTGTGAAAATAGTGAAATGTACAGAAAGTTCTGTTTTAAATTCACATCTGGAGCTGGATTAATGTGTGTTTAGCACAACAGGAAGGCTCCACTGCTTTAGAAAGGAACAAAACCTTGTGTGTACCCCTGCTTCTCAAATACTAATCTTCATTTGCTTTGTTAAAATTAAAATAATGAAGAAGCTGTGGATTTAGAATGTGACAAATTGGCTTTTCTTTTCAATTTGAAGTACAAGTGAAAAAAATTCTTTTGATATTTTTATCTCATTTTGAATTTTTTCTTACTGGCAGTTGTACCATAATTTATTGTAACATTTTCCTCCCAAGATTTATTTTTTTTCCTAAAGGTAAATGAAATACTGAAAAATTCAAGTTTTATAAAATGATAAAACTCTGCGTTGACAGAGGCACTGATTCTTATGAGACCTCCTGTCCTCCTGTGTGTGCATGCTGTGAGCATAGCTCTGCAAGAGGTGCTTTCTCATTTAAGAGAATTTCTTCTATGAGCTCTTCTATGTTTAGCATGAATGTCTTTGTCCAAGTAAACTTTGAGTCCAGACATTTATTCATACTTTAATAGTGTTATTGCTCCCTCTTGTGGTTCCTGCAACTCTGGAAGTTTTTTTTAGACCTGAGGTTTTTGTATCAAAACAGTTTATCATTCTAGCAGGGTGTAAATGTGAACAATGAACACAAAACTCAGACTTCTGGAAAAGTTCTATGACCAAAGTTATCTTCCTTATTATATATAATTTTTTTGTGAGCAACATAAACATATTTACCATATTCAGGCTGAAAGTCCTATTGCATTGAGAACCATATGGGGCAGAGTTGATCTGCCAAACAGTTTGTGATTTAGTTCTGTACAAAATTAGAGAGGTGACTGTGTGACATTTGTTGAATGTTGACATTTCACAAAGAAATCCCTACTTATAAAATTTATTCCTATTCAGTTGTAGAACTGTGATGATAGATTTCTTAAAAAAAAAAAAAAAAAAGATTTAAACCCCTTTTGATTACACTGTTTGTGGACTTTTTTGTGTATGTAGTTTTCAGCACAACAATACAACAGTGAACTGAGTCTGTAGTGTATTGGAAATTTGCAGAACAATTTAGGAGATCTAAGCATTCTTTCACTGACTATTTCAGTGAGTTAATGTAGACTTTTTGTGTGTGTCTTTTTTCCAGTTGTATTAATTACTTGCATTGTAATTAATCTTATCTGTTTAAGTGTCCAGCAGTGTTGGACTCTTTCTTCCCAGGTAACAGTACAATACCAAAAAAAATGGCATCCAATTTTAATGGGGCCACTGGATACTACTTTTCGGGTGCCACTTAATTGAGGCTGCATGTGCTGTTGATATGAAGCCTGAAGTAATTAGAAATAAAGGCTGAGATTTTAGTCAGCATTGTACTTTACAAAACTTGAAAATTCCTTCAAGATCATCTACCTAAAATACTATTTATTTGAACCCCTTTAGATCCTTAGTGCTTTTGACTGTGGTGTTAAAGTGCAGTGGTACTTTAGAAACTAGAGAGAGTATTCTTTTGGTAAGGATTTTTTTTTTTTTTTTTTTTTTTTAAATTTACAACACTATTAATGATTGCATTAAAAAAAAGACAAAAAAACTTTACTTACTGAAAGATATAATAATTTTAACATAACAAGACATGGGTTTTCCTGTAGCTCTTTGGTGGTTAGTAAGTAGTTAGATTTTTCTTGCATACTTGCGAAAATTGTAAGAGCAGATGTTGTCTCAGTGGGAAATAACCTCACACCATGAAATTTCTGAGCTGACATACTTAGAATACTTGACTGTCTTTAACTGTTTTCCCATATGCTTTTGTAAGTTTTCACATTTTGGTTTACCTTTCTAGGAAACCTTCTCATCCTCAGCTTGAAGCTTTCATGAAGCATATGTCCAAAGGGTCTGCAGCCCAAATGGATGGTTCCCTAAGCAGCCTGCCTCGCTACCCTAGTCATTCTTTGTGCGAAATGGGAGAGCTTACACAGACAGGTAAACTTCTGTAGTGGCTTTATCTTTTCTTCTGCTCTGTTAAATACAGTCTGCATGAAAGAGATATTCTATTTTTCTTTATATTGAAATAAACACTTTTTTATGGGAAACTTGTGATATTGGTTATAGCCTAGGTTATGCTGTGATATGAATAAAATATTGCACTCTACTGTAAAAGTGGTAACAGTTCTAGAAACCACGCTTGCCAGTTCTGTTAGAGATTGATCACGCCTGGCATCTCTTTTAAGTTTATTTATAACAAGTTAGAGCACCTTTTCTTGATCCTGAGGGGAAACCTGGTACTCTATCAGTGATTGGTTTGTAACTAAGAACGGCCCTGGAACTGAAGAACACTTAGTTGATAGTTTTTACCTGTGATGTAACTGCAGTGTCCCCTGCAAGAGATTCAGATGTAACAGACACATTTGATGCTTATATTATGGAAGTAGAAAAACTGTATACATCTGGTGCTTTTTTTCCTTCCCTTCCCTCCCTCCCTAAGCTTTGTAATGAAGTTCCAAGAGCATGCTTTCTGGCATATTTATGTATGTATATTTTCACCACAGGAAAATGAAGTTTATTTTCTTATTCCATCTGTCAGTTCTGATGAACTAGATATTGGAAGAAAAGATGGATATATCAGCAACTAAATTCCAAACAACTTTTTTAAAAGATGAAGTTTTGGGACTCCATCAGTACTACTACTGAGAGAAAGGCTGCTGAGCTTCTGCTAGTGAACATAATGTTTAGTCTATGGGTACTGAAAGGGTAGGAGAGATGGGAGGTAGCTGTAAGTGTTGCAGTCAGGGATTTGACTGTGTAGAAGAAAGTATCTAGAGAGCTGGGAGTATTGTGGTGCTGGGGGCATTGGGAATATTAGAGAGACAAAGGGTTTGGGATTGGAGAGGGAAAGCAGAGGGAGTGCTGGATCAGAGCAGTTATAAAAGGGCCATTTGGAAAAGATCTGGGACTGCTGTCAGCAGGCAATAGAAAAAAATGAGGGGAACAAAAGAAGACAGAAGTACAGAAACAAGTTGCCAGTTTGTAAGAAACAGATTTTCACAGATTCCACAGCTCTTGAAATTGTTTGTATTCTCCACCCAGAATAGTCAGCTGAACTGGTATGAACTGAAGTCTGTGTTTGTTTGCTGCACTTATTTTTCCACATACATTCATATCAGTGCATCAAAACAGAAAATACAGAAGTGCTTTCTCACGAGCATGTGGAAACATGTTGCACAACTGAGTAGAAACGCCATTGTGAAAAGGGTTAGTCACGGGTGTATTTTTTGCTTCAACATTCATTAATTTAATTTGAACATTCACTTTAATAATACTTTCCTGTTCTTCTGTGTTTTTTCAAATTTTAACATTGATCAATTCAATTTTATTCCCGTACCTTGCTTTTAACTGTGTTGCTCTTTTTATCATACCTACAAATGACTGAAAAAGCATATCACAGTGGATCTGGGTAGTCAGTGGGTTTGGAGACTGACCAGAGAGAATTAAAAGACTTGGGAAGCATTTTTCTCTTGACAACTGTCTTTCAAATCTCCTGTATTTTTTAGTCCAAAACTTACCTGTCAAATCCTCATATGTTTTGGGATCCCATCAGAAGAAATATTTGTGTAAGGCCAGTATTGAGTCTTGCAAAGTGACATCAGAATCACAGAATGACAGAATGTTAGGTATTGGAAGGGACCTCAA